ACCCTCAGATTCCGTACTTCGATGCTCTACCACCAAGCCACAGAGTCTCTACGATGAGCGAGGTCTATTACGAAGTTCATATTACACGCGTCCTGCATACTGCTAGGATTAGCAATGTAGATAGCGTCATGTTTTGTGAACAGAATAAGAATGATGAGCTCAAAACTTACCACCTCTCTTATTCTATTTTTTATTGAGTAGATCGATCAAGAGCGGTGAGGTTACCCTGCACTCAGACTCAAAGCCAATTTCTGTTTTCTGTTACGTGGGAGACTGCGGAGATGGAGGATGGACGCTGATCATGAAGATTAATGGCAATAAGGTAACAATTTATCCGCGAAGAAATCCATTGTGGAGAAAGGACAGTGGAGAGAAGGGACAAAGGGGATGGGCAAAATCTGCGGCTTCTTCTCTGATGAAACATCAAGGGTCGTCACGAGTCGCTCGTTTGTCTTCACTGAGTAGGAGCCTGGAACATGCTATCACTGAGATCTTATTGAAAACGAAAATACAAATTTTATTCTTTTTATATATTTCAGAGTACATTCCATTACAATTCCCAGTTCTGGAGCAACAGAAGTGCTTACAACCTTCCAGGAGGCAAGACTGGCTTTGACTTACAAGAGACAAAGTTGCCGACCTACTGGAACACACCCTTCTCCAAGATCTGCCTCGGTATGAAGATTGATCATCAGCTCAGGTTCATTGTCATCCACAGGCACGCCAACTCACTGTTCTCACTGATCGCTGATGGGAAATACCGTGCCACCTCACTGGGTCGTAACAGGTGGAAGTCGCTGGTTGGTCCACGGGCTTCCTTGCAGCTCAACTGCAATAAGGAAGGATTCAATGTGGGAGACAGCCCTAGTCATTCAAAAGCAAGAATCGGCATCACGGCTAACGAGCAGAATCACTGTGGTTCCTGTGACTCCCGAATTGGTTTTGGCACAGGAGGTTTCTCTGATGATTCCAACACGTGTGGAAATCAGGCAACGCACTCGCCAGATAATGGAAACAAGCACATCAAAGCCATGGGTTACATCCTAGTACAGTGACAGGAAACCCAGCCCAACTTCCCAAATTTTAAGCCGAGAGGCCATCATGAAGAAGAAAATGTAGTGTCCTAAAACCTTAAAGGCTAATAAAGCAACGAGTTTAACCTTATATTCTTCTCTGGTTAGCTTTGTCTCTAATATAATTTTTTCAATGAAATTCAAAGCATTTCATAAACGCAAAGCCAATTCAGGATTTGTTGACGAAGTAAATATTGGCAAAGAAGCCATATTCGATGTTTATGACACGTCCACGTCGTTAAGTGTGAGCGAATCAAGGAAGTGTAACACAGAAAAGAAGAAAATGTGACTTCTTTTATGTTCTTTTTGTTTTTTTTCTTTCCCACGCGTATTGTTCTTTACGCTCGCCTCGTGCATCTTTCAGCTCGAGTGAAAAACATGAAAAAGGACGCCAGTTCTACAAAGTAACTAGGAACCCACGGGCGTTAACAATTTTTGTTGTAAATAATTAGCTCAGATATGAGAACTAACAGAATGCAAAAGTAATACCCTCCCGAAGTATTGCTTGCCTTTCTCGTTTTCACCAGAAATGACGAAATTTTTGTGTACCATTTGTTCCAGACGTCATTCTCTAAGTTAAAATACGATACTAATATTAACAAGATGATTATTAGCTCACCATTCGAACTGATTTCTTTCCGGAATGTTTCCCGAGGTCATGACAGATATTCTTCGTTAAATTCGAAAAGTTGACCTAAAAGGATCGGTACGATCTCATCTCGTGATGTCACCGGCTTTTCCAATCGAGCTGCGTAAATCGGTCCTATTTGGTTTAAAGTTCAGATAGGAAGAGATAAAATCAGGAATTAACGACCATTTTAAAACACGATGAAGAAGAGTGCCCCACCAAACTATCTTTTTATGTCTTTAGTTACACTTTTAGCTCGCGATTTTTAGATTTTACGATTCTATGGAAACAGAGGTTACACTAACACCACTCTTCGGCTAAACTGTTCATGGGATGGTGTCTCCTCACACCTTTTCAGTTGTCTCTTTTCGCAGACGCAGATGTCTGCTGATACAAAAAAAAAAGGGGATCCAAAATTGCAATATTCATCATAGAACTAGCTTGATGAAGTTAGTCATTGGTATCCTTATCCTCGACAGGCCACCAAATTTGTCAATTTCGTGACCTTGTTTCAAAAGGATGGTAACTTTATCTATCAGAACCTATTTGATCCCGTACAACCATTTTTTGCTTTTCTTCAGTCTTTTGGTAGCTACTGCTACCGTACCGAGGCTTAGTATAGCACTTCGTCTTACTGGCAGAACGCTTAGAACAGGATAGTGATACTAGACCGCTACATTATTCTGATCTTTATCTGGATGAACATTATTATATGCTGTTTGCAGAAAATTCCAAGATCTGTCTGAAATCGGAAAGTTAGTAGCGTGGCGAACTTAGAATGGAGCGAAACCCTCAGATACGCGGAAAGGAGATCATACAAAAAATATTATCACCCCTGAATCAAACATTATAACAAACAACTGAAGAGAATCTTAAATGTTAAATTCTCCTCAACAGCTCCATAGGAAATGTAAACAGAAAGGTTTGGAGAACATGAGTATTTATGTTTGGGTGCAAAGTGTTAATTAATTCAGAGAACCAGTTTACTTTTTCTTTTGGTATTTTGGTTAAGAAATTTTATCTTCAGGAAAGATGGATTTGTTTTCCATGTTAGAATGAAAAGTTGAAAATCTCAGAACTTGAGACAACTTTGTTGAAGGGCAAATGCTTGAACTTAACCCTTCAACCCCTTAGAGTGATTAGCATCTAATTTCTCCTCACGATATCACCCCTGTATCACACATCAAGGTCATGAGAATAAAGGAAATAATCACCAACTAAAGAAACTCTTGATTGTTAAACATATTTTCCTTGTCAGCACTTCAGGAAATATATAGAGACCAGTATGGAGAATATTAATACTGATGTTGGGGTGTAAAATTAATTCATTATATGCTTCGTAGATGCAGGTAGTCGCGATAAACAAATCGCGGAAATTGTTTAAAGCATGAAAAGGTACTGGAAAGGTTATCGAGCAGCGAGACTCACAAAAGATCTGTTAAACGCTTTGAAAAATGACGCTAATGTTATGTTAAACAACCTCGGTCACTGTATTGTGGCCAATTTACATTGCTTACTCAATTTATAAAACCAAATGATCTTGTAACACCCCCCACCGACGCGAAGCACCAGTGTGTCTAGATTTGATTCAAAAATCAGTTGAACTTCATTAAGGAATAGGTTATACTTCACTTTTTGGATTGGCCTTGAAAATGCGCAATAAAGGGATGGAAAATTCAGGTTTACAAGACTACAGCCCTCCACAAGCTTATCGCAGTCCGTAGCGTTTTACTTGCACCGAAATATATGAACAAAGACGAAACAATGAGGGTCTCAGTTGATTTCAACTGATAAACAGCAATATTGCTAGTGGATTTTCAAAGTGTATTATAATTTCTTTACAGGACACTGTACACAAACGATAAAAGTAAAAAAAAAAATTATTTAAGTAGCAACTTGTCGATTAGACGTCGTAGAAAGCAAGCAAGAAAATACGAGTTGTGTTAAACAATGATAACAAATAATAACGATGTAAAATCATCACAATCAGTTTTCCACAGGTTCAGCAACACAGAAAATATTTTCCAACGTCGATCATTTTTCAAGATGCGCTTGCTATTTGCAATTTATTTCATTGTAAATGTTCTCGCGCTGTTAATTGTTTTGGTCCGCGCCAGACAACAATCCTGTACCGCCAATCATTGCGGCGAGATCAGCAAAGACATTAAGACGCTTCATACCGAAGTTAAAAATCTTATTGCACTGGTAAAGGACGCTTTGCGCCCGAAGCTTACAGGTACCTTTTCGGATAATATCTATGGGTGCTTCTTTCAATGTTGTTATTTTTCAAGTGTTCTCAATGCGCTCAGATTTTAAAATCGCATTGTTATCTTCCTCACAGTCTATCCCTTCTCTTCTTGCAAGGAGCAGTACGACTTAGGAAAGTAAGTACAAAGTAAACTGTTTTAGTTGCAAGATTCCAAACAGAACGCTCGCTTGATGTGTTTACAGTCAAAGGACACCGCGCTTGTTTACAAGATGACTCATTCCGATATATATGACTTTTTTTTCCATAAGGTCGAGACGAAGTCAAGTATACCCGCTGATGTTTGGTTCACAGAAGATTCCCGTCTACTGTCACATGGAAAACTTTGGGTGTGGAGGTGGAGGATGGACGCTGGCCATGAAGATAAACGGCGCAAAGGTAAACTCCCTGCCTCCTAAAACCCCTTGATATTGTTGAAATTAAAAAAAAAAAAAAAAAAAAAAAAGGAAACAAAAAATTGAAAGCTGAGTTTCTTGTCTTTCAGAGAACCTTCCATTACGATTCCCACTTCTGGAGCAACTGAAATGTCTATCATCTTACTGGAGGCAAGACTGGCTTTGACTCACAGGAGACCAAATTACCAACCTACTGGAATACACCCTTCACCAAGATCTGCCTCCGTATGAAGATTGGTCATCAACTCAGGTTTATTTTGATTAACCGGCGCGCCAACTCACTGTTCTCGCTGATTGCTGATGGGAAACACAGCGCCACCTCACTTGGTGGGAACACGTGATTGGTTCACAGGCCTCCTTGCAATCGTACTGCAATAAGGAAGGATTCAATGCGGTGGGAGACAACCCTCGTCTATCCAAAGCAAGAATCGGCATCACCGCTAACCAGGAGAATAACTGTGGTTCCTGTGACTCCCGCATCGGTTTTGGCACAGGAGGTCTACATGATGATTCCAACACGTGCGGAAATGAGGCAACGTACTCGCCAGATAATGGAAACAAGCACATCAAAGCCATGGGGTACATCCTGGTACAGTGACAGGGGACACAGTTAACTTCCCAAATTTTAAGCCGAGAAGCCATCATGAAGTAGAAAATGTAGTATCCTAAAGTTTATTAGCTAATAAAACGGGTTCAAAATTGTCTTCTCCTCTGGTGCGATTTGTCTAAAATATAACTTTTTGAAATTAAGCCTAAGACGTTTCAATTGTGCGAAGCCAATTTGAAGAAGAAATTGGCAATGAAGACATACTCGATGTTTATAATACGTCGTTGTCGCGGACTTTACGTGAAAGGAGGTCATGATCTGATCACGCACTGAAGGACGTAGACGAAAACAGTGACTTTTTTAAATTTGATATTTTATTTGTTTATTCAGTTATTTTCTGCGCGAGGGATTCGCCATTTGCACACGCCTCATGCATTTGTCCGCCCAAGTGAAATGCGCGAGAAATTACGCCTGTTATGCAGGGTAACCCGGAGCTCAAGAGCATGAAAGACTTATATGGAAAACAATTGGCTCAGAGACGAAAACTAACAGAGCGCAAAAAGTAGTTTCTCTCGAAGTATAGCCTACTTTTTGGTTGTCACCAGAACGCCGGCCAAATTTTTCTGTACCATTTGTTCGAGACGTCTGTGTCCACGCGAAATGCAAATGTACATATTGACAAGATGATCATTAGCTCTTCATTCCAACGGATTTCTTACCAAGATATTTCCCTAAGCCAAAACCTCTCTCACCACAATTTCAGATGTCCCCCTTTCAATTCGAAAACTTGCCTAAATAGATCAGTGCGATTTCCTAATATAATCTTAGAGAGACGAATTCTGTAGCTATCTCTTGTAGAACAAACTATAGTTTTGGGACCAGTCATTTATGTGGGGAATCGCACATTTCGGAGAGGAGATCAGTCGTTACTTGCAGACCATATAGTTGGGACTATGAAAAACTGACTGCCAAGTAACTGCCAAAAAATAGGGGAGTGGGGAAGTTAATAAGAATAGTACAATCAAAACGCGTGCGTTTACTACTGATGACAAAAGAAACGGAAATAGAAAATTGCAAATTTCAACGTGAAACCAAATTGATAAGAGTTCTCCATCGGTGTGCGCATGCTCCACAGGCCACCAAATTTGGCCATTTCGTGATCTTGTTTCAGAAGGATGGTAAGGTGATTTATTATGAAAGTATAATCAGCTATTACATTAGT